ATGAAATAGTTTTATTTGTTGTTAAAATAGTTAATGTTGTTGATGTCTTAGTTGAGAGAATATTTGTTATTGATGATAAAATAATTGATGTTATTGTTGATATCTTTATTTTGAATAAAATAATTATTTATAATAATTTATTTTTTAGTTTAGTTTAATTTAATTTAATTTAATAAAATAAATATTTGATATTTATTGAAATTATTTAAAGATAAATAATTTGAATGAAACATTTTAAAAATAAATTAAAAATAAAATTTAATTCATTTTCTTATATTTATTTATTTATTTAATTCGATTAAATACTTAATAAATAAATCTATTTAATATTATATTTAGAATAATTACTCAAATTGAAATTGAAATTTAGATTAAATTTTATTTATTTTTATTAATAATAAATGTATTATTTAAAGAATAAAGACTTACGATATGTTCAGTTGTAGTTATAGTTGTAGTTGTAGTTATAATTGGTTCTAAAGAATAAGATTATAAATAAAAATCTAAAATCTAAAATAAATAGTTGATATCGCACCGCATTCAAGATCAATAATAGTAATATCATCAATAGCCATGTAAAATGGTAAAGAATCTAATGAAGATTGTTTTTGAAATAGAAAATATATCTTAAATGAAAAAAAGAACAGAATATTTCTTTTGTTTATAAATAAATAAAAATGAGAAAAATAACTGTTGGATTTTGATTGTCGATATAAAAATTTGTTCTTATTGAATGCCATTTATTTTGAATAGGTGAATAAATAGTAAGAATTGTTTGATTTTGATTCGATTGATTATCTTCAATAATAACATTTATTGTTCCATTTGATTTATTATCAGATAAATAATAATAAAATCTAATACAATGTTGACCAGATAATAATTCTGAATTTAAATCAAGTTTATATGAACGATATCCAATTTGTCCAATTTCAAATAGTTCATATCCATATTCACCTTTAAATAAATAAAAAATATATTTATTATTAATTATTATTATTTTTTTTTGTTTTTTTCTAAATAATTAACCTTGACTACAATTTATTCTTGGACCATTTTCATTTAATGTTGGACATGTTGCAGGTAAATTAGGATCAGTTTTTTCACAAAAAAACATTTCAAATGAATTAAATTGAAAAGGAAAAAAACATTCTCCTATATCATTTGATGTTTCTATTTATATAAATAAAATAAAATAAAATAAATAAAAATAAAATAAATAAATATAATTTACGTATTGCAGTAACATCAGAAAGTGGTTGTCGTGGTTCTTTACTTGTTTCATTTAATAGAATAAATGAAGCTGATCGAAGACCCACAAGACATATTTGACCATCATCAAAATCACATTCATATATTTGTTGACTATTTATTGAAAGAATTAAAACCAACAATAATCCAATGAAAATCATTATTTTAAATGAATAAAAAATAAATTTCATCTTTTATAAAGATCTTTAGCAATTAAACCATAAACATCTTGAAATACACTAAACAAGTTGATAAGATCAATAAAAAAGCAAAAAAAAAGATAAAAAAATTTTATTCTTTAGATGCAAAGATTATTTTTTCGACGATATTTAACAATAAAGAGTGGTCAACGAGGATGGCGTCGATATATTGATCGTTTAAAAGAACGTCCAGCATCTCATATAACTGCATTTGCTATATTACATGAAGTAACTGCTGTAATACCATTTCCATTAATTTATTTTCCATTAAAATGGTCACGTTTTGGAGAATATCTTCCGATTCCAACTGAATATATTCAAGGTTAAATTATTTATTTAAATAAAATATTATTTATTATTTTGTATTTTGTATTTATTTAGAAGGAAATAAAAAAATAAATCGTATTCGAACTCGATATGGTTTTAAACCATTAGATGAATCATCATTAGTTTTAATTAATCTTTCAATGACATATGCTATTGTTAAAGTTATTCTTCCATTACGTATTGGATTAAGTTTAATGTTAACACCATGGTTAGCTTCAATTATTACTCGTTCATTATCTTTATTTCAACGTTTGAAAATAAAATTTTTTTCATAAAATATTATTTTTAGAAAAAATTCAGTTTTTTAACTTTTTAACAAGAATATTTTATTGTTTGAAACAATATTTCAATTGTTTATTTTGTTACGTTAACAAATATTAGAAGTTGAATTCATTTTTAAAGAACAAAAAAATAAGTTAACAAACATTATTTTTTAAGTATTTTTATTTTATTAATAGAAATATTTTTTTTTATAGCAATTACCGATCTACAGGACAGTCCAGAATCCAGAAAAAACTGATGTTTCAAATTTCTTAAATTTACATATCAAAAGCCCTTCGTAAATTTGAGACTTCTTATATCTAACAAGTACTTTAACATTTAAATAAATAACATAACAAAAAGATTCAGAAAAAAACTACTATTTAACACATTCGAACAGTTCATCATAGTTTCTTTTTATTTGTTGCTTCACTGCTACTATAATCTATGTCTATCATCTCGTTTTATTAGTGTATTATATACATCAATCAGTGTAAGAATGGGGACGAGACTCTATTTAAACTACAGTTTTACTCCAAATTAATCTTTTTTTTCTTACACTTCGGCTACAGAAAAATCAATTTTCATTAATGCAGGGGTCGCAGCGACACTACTTTCCTGATTTTTTCCTGATTTTTAAAAAGCGTCCTGATTCGTCCTGATTTTGCCCAGTTTTCCTGACTTTGTGTTGTATAGTTCGAACGCAACAGTAGTTCGGAAGCACAAAACAGGATTCATTGCCAAGAAAATCTGGTCTCCAATTATAAAACAAATTTTCAGTCTTTGTTTTAGTTGAACTATGAGCGAGATATCGTTTTTAGGGGTTGATTTTTATACAAGGCTTAAACTTAACGATTTTAAAGAAGTTGGTCTCTTTCGGACGTAATAAAATTCAGCTCTACTCAACCCTCCACACGTGTTAAAACTACAAGTTTTCTGATCGCTCTCAACGAATAATGTGTTGTTCGCAAAATAATGCAACTGTGTTTTAAACGATGTCGATATCTTTGTCTTTGAAGATGAGTAACCATCGATTCATCCCTTTTTTTTGGTGTCGTTTATTTTATAGTACGCAGCAAACATAGTGATCAGTCGTATAACCATCCCGTTCTGTTGCTTATAGGAATACGGTACCAATCAGTGATAATCGTAGTTTTCCTAGTACGTTATCTTTGGGAGCAATAACACACTTTGAAGCGCACGATTGGCGCCAGTTTCAACTACTTCAAAAATCCGATTTCAGAACTTTTGAAAATGCGCATAGTATACATCTCAGATCTGGATTGGACCCTTACCTTAATGTCTAGTCTTACGAGTGAACTGTTTGATTTATCCTTTAGTACACTGTGCATACAGAATGCTACGGAAAATTTAAGCTCAGCAGAGCTAGTCTTTTCAGTCCATATATCCATATACACGAGCATAGAGTTAGTCCTTTCTGAAAGATGCTGCACGTGGAGTCGTGAAAGTTCAGGCTTTATAATTTGATAGGGACAGTGTTCGATGATACACACTTTGTTTCTGTTTGAAAAAGTCTATCGTGCAAGAAGTAAATAACGGCAAAGTGTCACTACTGCTTATTTCTACTGAAAGAATTCGTGAATCGTAAATTGCAAGAGCAACTGGAAATGAGAAAATTTTTCGAAATTATGATATCAATGGAGTTTCTTCGAAAATGATATGAATGTGAGTACATCTAAAAGGTGTGAATGTATTGCTTATTAGAAAGACTACTGAAACATATTGCTTCTGTTTTCGCTCCTTATCATATCATCGCATAGATAGCCGAACCATGTGTGCTACAAGCAATACTAGTCGCAGCTCTAACTGCAATCATCGAATGTCACGATAAAAGATAGTTTTGATAAGTCGCTTCTGAATTCGTGTCATGATTTGGATACAATATTAGATAAGAACAGTAAATCAGGGTTGGTCCAAAGAGATCCGGGTTACGCGGGATGGCGGGGGGGGGGAGTATTTAAGGAGAACGAAATTTTTTTTCGGACAGAACGCAAGAGAATTTGTTACGTTTCGCTGGAAAAGAAGAAAATTTTCCACGATTGGAAGGGGGCTACCACTTCAAGCCTCCGCTATGACCAGCCCTGCAGTAAACTGTTCTTTATTCTACGAAAGACGAGCAGTGTGTATTTTTTCAATAATTTTTGATAGGAATACGATAAAATGGCCTGATTTTAACCGTTAGAAAGAGGGAACTCGGGACCATCAGCCCATCAGACAATGAAGGGACGTGGACACTTTTTAATGGGCTCCTGGGAAATTTCCGGGCGGTTTTTCTAAAAACCGATAACTTGTTCCTCTAGGTGAAAATGTGCATAATTTAATCTATCCATCTTGTAACATAATGTCCACTATATCAGTTCTGAAATTTTCAGATTGTTCTAGCTTTTCCGTGGGAAGCAGGACTAAATCTCCAAAATTTTTAGCCCATTTTCAAAAAACTGAATACTCAAATTTCGAGCTGAAATTTTTCCCGAAGACACGTCTGGTGGTCCATAAAATATTTGGAAAATTTCTGGCAAACAATACGGTCCTTCTTCTAGATATTGCATTTTCAAGTGAAACCTTATGTTATGAGCTGTCAGTCACAAGTGGCTACTTTTTTCAAATTCTGTATTTTGTGCAAAAAAATTCTTGAGAATATTTTGATTTTCCTATATATTTCTGCTCTCGAGTCAACCGTTTCTAACAATGCAAGCCGCGTTTTTCTATCATCTTTCTGTCAAAATTTATTGGAAAAATACTCCTTCTCTTTTTAATGGATAATAGTATACATGGAACTAGATGTTAAAGACGAAATAAGACGTGGAGAAAACAACCTACCATGACCGCAACGGCAAAACTCACAATTTCATGAATGCGTTTGTGAAGGACAAGTCTGATTCCAAATTGAACTCTATTCAAGTTTGTCCTTCTTTTTTGAGAGAATCATATAGGAGCTGGCAAAAAAGGCTGCACTTGTCTACACTTACAGCATGTATACGCACGTCTCGCAGCGTGTACGATTTTGTTTTGCGAAAAAGTTCCATCGATGTTTCAAATTTTTCAGTATCGCACGTCACACAGATGTCATAGCATACCAGAATACAGGTGACGTTATTTTCCTGCGTCTTCTCGCTACTTTCATGTTACATCGAACTTTTTCGAGTTTCTTTTACAGCATGTCCTTCTGTTAGATCTTATTACTTTATTCTTATCTCCTCTATGTCTGGTCTGTATAATAATATATTGTTCCAATTGATTCTATTGCTATGAGTATTTGCAGAAATGGTTTTCTGCTCGATTATTGAATACGAACATGTAACTAAAAGTCGAGCGCAACCGAATCATATTATATGTGTACTATAATTGTGTCTACTGTACATGAGACCTTTACCCTAGTTTCTCTCCTATTGCTACACAGTTTTCGAATGGAGTTCCTAGATGAACTTCATGTGCATGACCATCAACAAAACATTGAAAGGAAAGCACCATGCGAAAGTACGATCAGAAACGAGACATGAGAAGATATGTGTGTCGCAACAACAAGAAGTATGAAAAATGAAATAGACGAACAGGTTGTGCACCTCGTTAAAAAACATGTGTATGTTTACATCTTTCCCTGTGTTTCCAAGCATTCCTGATTTTGGGACCCTTTTCCTGACTTTTTCTTCGAAAATTCCTGTCCTGATTCCTGTTTTTTCACATGACACCGCTGCAACCGCTGCTTTATTAATATTTCATTTGTATAGATAATGATTCAGTTCAGTTACGTCAACGATTTCTTCTTCATCATCTCACGATGAGAAATTTGAAGCAGATGTCCATAGCATCGTTAAATTTTCTTCTAGGATATACATCTGAATCATAATTTATGTTGTTATTCTATTTAGCCGGTAGTCTCGTTGATTAATTTCAATTGTAAGTAACTAAGTTTTGTCTGTAAGTATGAAAAAAATATTTTTCTATTAATTTTTCACGACTCATGGTAAACGATCAATTGGTTACACCCGAATTTCATTCAACATCATCACCAATATATGACATAAGTTCACCGCTGAAGATTGTTGATAGATCTAGGCTATTGCCTACTTTCGATTAATCTCAGACATTGACTAGAAATCATCCGTTCGCTAAAATCATTTTTTTCTAATGGTTCGATGAGTGTAAGTTCAATCAATATAGATTTTGGTCGTAGAGATTTCGTTTTCCTGTGTATCTATCTTTAGAGTTATGAAGAAGATGAACCGATTTGGCTTGTCAAGTTACGAGAAAAAAACGAAAAAGTATTGGAAATATGAAATAAAAGAAGCAACAAGAGAGAAAGAGGAAATCATACGAGAACTTTAAAAAAATTGGATAAAAGGATAAACGGAGACAGAGAGAAGAAATGGTACGATAATTTAAGGAAGAAATCAATGAACAGATGCGTTTATGCTTAATGAAAAACCAGGGGGAAGTACACGTTATAGTTCTTCCATATGTTACTATTATTGTGATAGAAAGAAAGATATCGACCAATATTTGGTAAAAACGTACAAAATCAATTTATAAATCATTATGTTTTTTTGTTGTTGTACGATGCTTGACTCTGTATTTCAAGGGCAGATTATGTATTTAAAAACCGGTTCTGCTGTTTGCTGTCAGATATTTTATAATTCTTAAGATTACGAATAAATATTAATGGAAATAAATGCGAAAACCTCGGATTTAAATCCGAGAGTTATGTGTACTTCAAAAAGTGAATGAGACAGATGAGTCATCCTAGAATGTGGGGACATCAAAATTATCCTGGCAAACCTTTTCTATAAAATACTTGATTTCTATTGGCTACTCTCAACCAATAGGATTTGGGGATGAATACAGCTCAGATTTGAACTCTTCGCCTTGATTTACCCTAAGAAAGTCGTTTTTCCTATAACTTGATTTCTATTGGTCCCTGCTCAACCAATGGTATTTCAAGGCGAATGGATGACAGATNAGTGGACAAGAGCTGTTCCACCTCGCACAAGACCGACAGGCGTGGAAAAATCTGATCCCGTAAAAATGGTTGGCCCCAACGGGCGCTAAGCCTATGGGACATGATGATGATGATGATGATATTGAACTCGAACTATTTGTTACTAATCGATTAGATTGATAGAGTGTGATGATGTTACAATTATGAATATTTAAATTCTGTTCAAATTCATATAGTTTTATAATATGTTCAATAAAAAGCTGTTACTGTCATGATGGTATTGTTAAAACATTGATGATACTCTGATATTGATCTCTATATAGTACCCATACGATCAGTTCATAATAGGCTAATATCAACTATGAGATATTTTCAGTATTAATATGAATTTTTTAGTTTGTATTATAGAAAAAAAAAGGTTTATTATAATCACCGTAATTGTTAATTGACATAAATGTCTTATTTAAAAAAAAGTAAGTTATGTGAAAAAGTAAAATAAAACTAATTATTTTTGACATATTGTTGAAGAAAATAATTATAATCTATTGTTCCATCCATTTTTGTATCAATTTGTGATGTTAATGTATAAAATTCTTCATCATTTAAAGGACATTTATATTGAATAAGAATTTCTTTGAATGGTTTAACAGGTATAGAACCATTATTTGTTGGATCTCGTTGTTTAAATGTTCGTCGTAATTGTTTATAAGAATCCGATAACTAAAAAATAAAAAACAACAAGAAAAGTATTTATAAAATTTCCGAATAATTAAAATAAATGACTTTTCTTCGAAGTTTATTAGAAAGTTGATTTAAAACCGATCGATCGTATGTACCACGAGGCGACTTTTCATTTATAGTTGGTAAAGGATTTTTATTTGATTCATCAACAAGACCAATTAATTCTGGAAGTGGTGCATGATGTTTTAAAAATCGAACATAATTCATTCTTATTATTTTAAAAATTGAAAATAAATTATTTATTTATTTATTTATTTATTTTAAAAGAAAAAACAAAAAGATTTTTTCTTTTTACCTTGAATCACTTTGTGTTTGAAATTTTAATTTAATCATATCAATATCTTCTTGATTAACTTGTGGACAAAGTTCAGTTAAAATATCATCAAATTCATCAGATTGAACATAACCAGTTCTATATGGATCTAATTCAGTAAATTCTCTTCGTAATTGATCCCAATTTGAACGAATAGCATTAAGTGCAGTTCCATGAACAAGAACAGAATCTCCATATAATTTTCTTGATGTTAATAGAAAATCTGCATCACCTCTTTTAGGTGGATTTTGTTTAGCATTTGGATAATGTGCTGAACGTTTTGAATAACCAAATTCCCTTAAAAATTGATAAAAATCTAAATTTCGATTTTCTTTTAAATGACATCGAGACCAAAGTAAAATAATTTCTGAACGTGTTATTTCAGGTTTAATATCAAGACTAAATATAGAATTTATTATTTTTAAAAATAATAAATGAAAACAAACCGTTTAAATAAATCATATAAAAGATCTTGTGTTAATTCTCCATATGAAGAATGATCGAGTTTTTTAAATTCATCTTCAATATCTTTATAACGATTTCTAATAACTATTTTAAGAATTTCACGAAGCTTAAAAAAATAAAAAATAAATAATTTTATTTAAATAATTTTATTTAAATAAAAAACCTCTTCAATTGATCTTGTTTTTTCTTGATTATTTTCATTAAAATCATTTTTTTTTTCACTTTTTTTATATTTAATATGTTCTTGATTAAGACTTTCACGAATATTTTTTGATCTCATATAATCCCATTGAGGAATTCTTTTATAGAATTATAAATAAAATCAAAATATATAAGAAATATTTCGAAATAAAATAAAAACTTACACAATTGATTTTTGTTCTTGTTCTTGTTCTTGTTCTATAAAGTTGTTATGATCCATAACTTGTTTTAAATAATCTTTATATTTAATAAATCCATATTGATCAATTGGAAATTGTTTTAATAATTGATTATATTCATCAGGTCTTAATGGAAATTCAAGTAAATCTTCAATTAATGATTTCATATCATTTTTTGAAATAGTACCATTATTATTATTATCGATATTTATTAATTCATCTCGAATTCTTTCAAAATTAATTGATATTAAATATTGAATTTGTCGTTCTAATGATGTTTTATTATGTTCTTGTTTATATCTATAAATAAATAAATAAATAAATATTATTTTATTTTTTTTTTTTTTTTATTTAAATAAATAATAGAAATACAAACAAGTCAGTTTTAGAATTGATTCGTTTGTTTTTTTTATCGGCCTGTTGTTTAAAAGCATTAATAACATGTTGATAAGGAATTAAACCATTTGTTAATGTTAAATCAATATTAAAATGTTTTAATAAGAAATCTAAAATATATCCTTCTAATATTAATCCAAAACGTTTTAATTCTTCAATAAATTGATGACGTTCTAACTAAAATAAATAACAAAATATTATTTTATATTATAATTTAAAATAAAAACAAAACTAAACAGTTCCAATTTGTTTTTTATCTAATTGTTCAAGTGATCGTTCAAGATCAGAAAAACCTTGAGGAAATTTATGATTTATCCATGTATCAATTTGATAATCATCTAATTGAGAATGAGAATGACAATCTAAATTATATATAATTAATACAAAAACGAAAATAAAACATTAAAATAAATACTATTTATAGAAGGTGTTTTCACTTGTGAATCATCATTATAACAATTATTATGTTTTGCTCTTAAAATAGCTGTTTGTTGATCTTGTGATTCACTTGTTGGAATTGATGGACTTTCATTAATAAATTCTTCATTGGTTAAACGTTTTAAAAATTTCTCGGAATTAATTGCATGAAAACCATCAGTATCAAATCTATTTTTGTTTTTTTTTTAAATAAAAAAAAAAAATAAAAAAAAAAACAAAAACAAAGGTTCAACTAACTTATCCCATAATTTATCAAATTCTTTATCTTTCATTGTATAACCCATATCAATGAGTTTATTATGAAATTGTGCTTTAAATATTCTTGAAGGTGATCCACCATCCAATGATGGACATAAATTAACTAAATCTTTATTTCTAATTTTCAAAGAATTTTATTATTTTATTTAAATATTAATATTATTTTAAATATCTTACTTAGTACGAACTTTATCTTTAAGAATAATAAACATTTGGGCAGCTGTTCGTTTAGTTAAAAATTCTTGAGGTGTAGATGATTGACGAGTTAGCCAAGCAGGTAATTCTTCTTCACCAGTGAATAATGAATTAATAAATTCATCAAAACTATTTAAAAACTCAAAACAATAAAAAAATTAAAGAAATATAAATAGAAAAAAAAAAACATTATTTTATTTAATTTTTTTAAATGAATACT